ACGAAACCAAAAGCCATTTACGTGTTGCCATTGCATTTTGGCGCAGCACTCCCAGTTAGCTTACACATTTTAAAACGCAAATTTCAGCAACATATTTAAAGACAAATCCATAAACTTATTATCGAACTGCCAACGGCCTCACTTGCGATTGTCCGGAAACTTCCGATTTCGTGGACTGTGCGATACATCACGACGCGGAAACTCATCCAGCTGAAATCAAGCATTATCATTACTAACCCTTATATTAACTGAGACTACAATTTTGCCCACCAACCTTTGAGGAACTGCTTTTCGAGCGACTGGAGCTTGTCTGCCGCATCGGCACATCCATCTCATCGTCCGTGTAGCAGCTGTACTCACGCGACGAGTCACTGAAAATAGTAAACAAAATTTGCTTGAAAAGACCGCTTCAGTAAGCGCTGTTAACTGAACTAACCTTGGCTCAATTCCATCTTGTGTGTCAGGGTCCAGCAATGGCAACATATCCTCACCTTGCTGTAGAAGATCCACGCTGGTTATGGATTTGCTGCTTGCTACACCGTCAGCCTCATCGTCTGCACCGACCGTGCCTGCTTCCTCCGTCTCATCAGCGCCAGCGCCCACGGCTCCTTCCCTCTTTGCCTCATGACACTCGCACTGACAGTCTTCCGGCTTTACATAGTTGTAGTGGATTTTGCCGTCCATAGTCACATCTGGCTGTGGTGGCTGGTGTCCATGCCCGGGCCCTTGTCCGTGTGCGTGGGTGTGCGCCGCATGTTGCCCACTCGTTTGGGCGGCGTGAGTTCGGCTGCTGCTAGTAGTCGTGGAAATGACGCCGTCTTTGGGCAAAGCCGTAATTCGCTTTGGTGGCTTGCGTTTTTCCGGTATATTTTCGAAATCTATCCAATGTCCAGAGAGCTTTCGTTGCGTCGTTGTGGTGCCGGAGGTTGGTGTAATTTGCGTTTGCATGATCTGCACGGTGGTTGTGGTCGCTGTGCCGGCAGGTGACTTTGTTTTTGTTTCCTTTTCCGGTTTTTTTCTGCTGTAACAATTGTTTGTTAGAATCTTTGCGTTCCAAGTTGGCTGCATTGGCGCGCAGACCCTCCTCGGCGAACTCAAACCAAGACTTGCCGCTAGTGTTGGATGCTCGTCGTGGGGACTTTGAGCTCTGTACCCGCTCCTTAGTTGAGTCTTTACGTGGCAAACTGATGCGCAATTTCTCGCCGCGTACTGGCACAGAGCCACTAAGCTCATAAGCCGGCTCCTGAGGTGTAACTATGCCGCAATATTCCTCTAAGTGGGAAGG